TATTTGCAATAACTAGTATACATCTAGGATAATCTTACCAGATAAGCAGAAAAGACAAAACAACTATGTACATATGACCATATAAGATGATGCTAAGCGAAATGAACCCCAATATATAGATACAAAGTTTTTTTCTTTGTTGCTGTTGTTTTTAATGTACTATGTGATTTTTTTGTTTCTTTTGTATGTTCTTCCCTCATGGTATAACCCCTGTTGTCACTGTATTTGATTCTGGTGCCCATTATCTTGTATATACATTTTCTAGTTTGGGAAAGGAAGGGAAATGACAAAATGCTGAAACAAGGATACAGGTTGACCCATTGTAGCAATGAAACGTGCAAGACACTATGTGAAAATAAACTTTACAACTTGGGGAGAGGGTGGGGAGGGAGTAGTTGGGAAGGTGAGGAGGGAAGGGATAGTAGGGGAAAAACAAAGGAAGGTGTAACAATGCTCAATAGGAAATATACTCATTACCTTACTCATGTACTGTAACCCCTCTGTACAGTATCTTTATAATAAAAATATTAAAAAAATAAAAAATCGTGGCCAGATTTGAAATTATTGTAATGAAGAATTTGAAGACTAGAAACTAAGAGTAAGTATGCTAACTCTCCAGCTCTCTGTGTAGGGGGGTATGTGTGGTATGTGTATGTGTTGTGTAGGGATCAAACCCAAGATCTCACAATACTAGGCAAGTGTTCTACTTCTGAGTTGTATGCCCAGGTCTAGACTTTTGTTTCTTTATTTAACTTCCTAGGATTATGTTTTTACTTTCACATTACATACATAAATATAGTATACTCAGTGTTAGTACATGACACCAAACACTTCAGTTTTAGGTGACTTCCCTTAAAATTGATACCAACAATTCAATGTTTTGGGGAGGGGGGGGGGTCCGGTCGTGGAGCCTGAACTCTGGGCTTGGGCGCTGTTTCTCAGCTCTTCAGCTCAAGGCTAGTGCTCTACCACTTGAGCCACAGCACCACTTCCGGCTTTTGTTTTTTTGCTTATGTGGTGCTGAGGAATCGAACCCAGGGCCTCATGTATTCAAGGCAAGCGCTCTACCACTGAGCCACCTTCCCAGCCCCAACAATTCAATTTTTTATCCTATTGAGGATTACATATAATGCCATATAATGCAATTGTAATCAGATAGAATTAAAACTATAAAAATACATATTAAAAATAGATAAAATAAATAAATGAAAATCCAAAGATACATATTATACTTAAAACTCTATTAGATTAAGACAGTGTATTATTGTTACAATTGAATGTATTTTAATTAATGTATTTTGAGTATATTTTAATAAAGTATTTAAAATAAATACAAGTACCAGTAGCTTTCTAGAAATAATACGATTCCTGATAAATATTAGTATACAAGTATACACAAACCTATAATTCACAGTGAATTGGTAATCCAGAAATTTTTGTAAAAAATGCATTACAATACCATTCTTTTTTAAAATAATTTTTATTGTGAAAATACTGTACAGAGGGGTTACAGTTACATGAGCAAGGTAATGAGTACATTTCTTTCCAGCATTGTTTCCTCCTCCTTTGTTTTTCCCCTACCATCCCATCCCTCCCACCTCCTCAACTACACCCTCACCCCTCACCCCCCCCAACCCCCGCCTAAATTGTAAAGTTCATTTTTCAACAGAGAGTCTTGTATATCTCATTGTTGGAATGGGTCAATCTGTATCCTTAGTTAAACATTTTGTTTTTTCCCTCCCCCCCCCAAATTATACCAACATCAAATACAGGGGTTATACCATGGGGGAGGGATATACAAAGCAACAAAAAATCACATGGTACCTTATAAATACGTTAGAAACAATAGCAAGGAAGACAAAAACCACCTGTGTCCCTATCTTGGGGTTCATTTCGCATAGCATCATCTTATCTTAGCTTTTCTGCTTGTCCCAGACATATACTAGTTATTGCAAATAAGGGAAACCATGGGACCTAAGCAATTTGGCAATGATTCAGACAGACTCATAATTGTTTCCTAACTTGAATTTGATACCTGTATAGTCCTGGAAAAGTCAACTATTTCATTCATCTGGCTTCTCAGGTGTAAAATGGGAAATAATATCATAAATTACCTCATAGGCATGTGGTGAGGGTCTAAATGTGCTGGGATTTAAATAGTATATTTTATATAGCATATATCATAAATGATTTATGTGATTTACAATATATGTGTCACATGACAAATTATATACCATATATATGATATAATATACCATATACATTGTATACTATATATAATACATTGTATATGTCACAACACACATCATATGTTATAGAATATATTATATAGTATATAGTATATCTTTTATATAGTATATTTATTTGTGAGAGTAATGCCTAATATTAATGCTGGCAAGATACTTCTCTGAGCTTCAGATTTCTCATATGTGAAATGAGGAGTCTGTGTAATCATTGAAAAGTTTCTTCCAGCTTACCTCCACAATAATCTATGTAATTTATTTTCAAATTTACAGGTTAAAGTAATTTTTGAACTACTTTTACTCCATATTCCCAAACTTGACATGATATTCAGGTGGTACCTCAAAGTAATCAGATGTCAATGAGGAATCTGTACAATGTCTCTAAATCATCATCACGCTATCACTCAAGTAAAACTTGAGCTACATTGAACAGTGCGGTTTGAAACCAAATAAATAGAAAAATAGCAACAAATATAATAGTAATTATGGCAACCATTTGGATAATGAACTGCAATTCAAGAGATGTACAAATGTAAACTATTATGGATAGTCAAATAAGACAATTACAGGTATTATGAAATAAAAAGTGAGTACTTAGTACACTTAGAGAGAAGATATATGATGCAATGTCATCAAAGGGAAGTGTAGATTGACAAACTATTTCAAACAGTATCTTCCATTGAGAAAATTACAAATAAAGGTAATAGTCCCTTGATTTTGAGAAGACATGATCTATCAGAAAGCCATTCCCTAGATATTTATGCTCATAATGCTTTTTCTCTAAGTTATTCAGGTTTATCCACACATTGGGAGATCCCTTGCCTGATGATGAGCCAGTTGTCATATGTATGTAGTTCTTTTTCTAACAATGTTATTCCTTTTTCAAGGAATTACTATCAAGAACAAAGCTTAAATACCTATTTTGATTATTGACCTGGGTGTTGTAGACAAGATGGAAAAGTGTATAGTATTGTCTTATCCTATCCCATGTGGCTAGCTAAGTCTATTTAATCAGGCCAGTCCACACACACCACAGAGCAAATAAGGCCACAGACAGGTGGCTATAAGAAGAGATGCACATAAGAACTGGTATAAGAATTATAGGAGAGGTAATGTACATGACAGCTGAATGGATTCTAAAGGCACTTACGTAGAAATGTAACTTTTATAATTATATAGAAGTGAATATATGCTGGGATATCATGGGATGATAAGCAAAGTTATGGGGGTAGACGGTTCACACAACCTTAAAGAGAGTTGTACTCTGAAGATCAGTAAAATAAGACTTTTGCAGTTCAATAAGAATACATAGTATTCTGAAATATTTTAAATCCTGTTGGAATTTGGGTTGAAATTACAAAATAAGGAGCCAAGAACATTTTGGTTCACAGACCAGTATTTTTTTTGGGGGGTGGTGGTGGTGAAAGGATACGTTAAGGATTGAGGGCATAATTGAGCACTGGCTAGGATAGTCTTTTAGTGACTGGTGGGGAAATAATGAAAGTTTAGATTCTAAATGGCGAATAATGTGAACAGAATTTCAAAATAAAATTTGCCAAAATCTCTTGGCTATAAGAAACAGGGAAAAATTTAGATTCTTCCATGAAATAGGACTCAACGAACAGATTGTGAAGGGAACTAATAACACTAACTGTACAATTCCTCAAGAAGAGACGGCAAGAGTGTTCCTCATAAGTACTGAGTAACAAGTCCTCTCCCAACGTGAAGCAGGTGTTCAAGTCCCCTAAAATAGAATTTAACTTAAGTGGTTCTAGTTTAAACAGTGAAGAAAAAGAACAGCACCAAACCTTAAGCAGAGACTAAAGATTTATGAGATAGGGCCAGTGTGGATTAGGGGAGAGAAGAAAGGAAATCTGCTTTCACTGATTCCCTACAGTGGATCTCATTCTGAGTATTTCCAAAGCGTTTTATGTTCACAATTACTGAAAGTCACCTCAAATCAGAGCTCCTCCTAAAAGGTTGGAAGTTTGATTTATTTTAATAATTAATGTTCTTTTTTCTTTCCACCTGGTTTCTCATCTGAAAACTTTCTATCCCACAAATTCTTTCCATAATTTGTAATCAAAATGTCTGTAAATTAAGAATTTGCCTTCTTAACTTTGTCAGGCTCATTCTGGGTTGCTTATATTGATTAAGCCATATTCAAAATAAATGGCAGATCCTCAGCCAAGCATTTCTAATATCCTAAGGCCAATTCAGCCCAGACAGTGCTCAGCCCCACCCCCCTCCAGATAAAGGTAAAGAGCGCCTGCGCAAACTCCAAGCCTTTTCTCTACGTGACACCGCCCCCCCTCTGCCCCAAGTTGCTAATGCGCAGACGCATCGCCCTGGGTGCGTTTGAGAAGGGCTGTGAGAAATCTACTGTCCAGTGAAATCTAGAAGTGTTCGTAGACATTCAACCCTCTCCTTTCTTCAGAAGCAGAAGCACCACTGCCTATAACCAGTGGACCCAAAGTGCGACCCAAACATAGCCCTGTGTCAGAGCAAGGTCCTGCGCTGTCTGGCAATACCCACTGTTTCTCTATTCTCAGCTGTTTGTAACCTCATGCTGCTGCCAACGTTTGCTAGAAGGGTAGAGACAGTTAGCTCCCTAGAAGCTACACAAATCTGTTGGCTGCCTCTTTAGGCCAAAGAACCTACAGCCTCCCCCCCACCCTCCCCCATTGGGCACAGCTTTATCCCAATGCCTTTCACACCCTCCTTCCCCTTTCACACCCACCCAGCTTGGGCGCTTACCTCGTGTGTGATGTGGTCACGAAAGGGATCAAAGGATCCCAGATCAGGTCAGTGCTGGGGCAGGAGGATTCCGCGAGAATTTTCCGGGGTCTCCACTGCCGCCTCAGACAATGAAATCAGCGTGTCCGATCATCAATTCTCATCATGATCGTGACGTCACGAAAGACAGCGGCCAATGAGAGCCCGAGATCAGCTCCGGACAGTCCCTGGCCTCAGCCCAGAACCCAAGAGTGGGGAGGGGGAAGGAGAGATGGCTGACTGCAGTAGGGCTGCCTCTGTCACCCTACCCACCCCCGGACATATCAGTTATATCTATGACCAGGCCGCTACTATTCTCCATCTGGATAGTTGTAAACATTCAGCATCCTTGTGATTATAGTAGTTTCATTACAGACATTTGAGAGGTGCTGCCAGGTCACCAAACTTGAGATTCTCTTTCAGTGAAACTGTCTACACCGCCCAGACCAAATGATTGAACAGTTAGTGTTCAGTTCACACAAACAAACACACACACCCACACACACGTGCACGTACGCGCACACACACACAGAGTTTGTTAAAAGATGATGCCTTCATGGAGCCTTTGAAAGTTTCAATTAGTAGTCATATGGTAGTCATATGTGAGTGGTTGCTCATGGTGAATGAGGGAAGAAATTATAGGCTCTCTTCACCTTACCTCAAGCTCTGTACTGTCAGAAATTACTTGATTACTATTACAGGAAAACATCTCAAACTGCATGTTACATCAGTCACATTCAATTGATTGCTCCCCAAATATGATGGATGTGATGAAAGATATAAAATTTGTTGGTTCTCCTCTACTATAAAACTTACAGCATCATTTAGACGACAAAATTAGTAGCCAGTAAACACTAAAATAAAACAATGTACATGATCATATGCTTAGTCAGGAATTACAGCAATGAACTGCATTGATTTATGACTGGGGATATCAGTAAGATAGAAAAGTTGACATTGCCCCATTTGTTAGGAAATGGAAAAACTTGGAAAAAATTATATTAAGTGAAGTAAGCCAGGCCCAAAGAAACATAGGTCCCATGGTTTCCCTTATTTGCAATATCTAGTATATGTATGAGTCAAGCGGAAAAGGTCAGATAATGTGATGTCAGGAAAATGAACCCTTAGATATGCATTTTAATTTTTTTTCTTTCATGCATGTGTTTCTAATGCATTTATAAGATTATCTCTTTGTTGCTTTGTATGTCCCTCCCCCACAGTATAACCCCTGCTTTCACTATATTTGATGTCAGTATAACTTGTGGAGGAGATGGGGAAAAACCAGTTGTTTAAGGATACAGGTGGACCTGTTGCAACAATGAGAGTACACGTTGTCATGTCCAAAACGAGCTTTACAATGTCGGTGGGGGGTAGGGGGGAAGGAGAAGGATTGGGATTGGGGGGAGGGGGGAGGCTGGGAAGTGATGTGAAGGGTAAACAAAGGAGGAGGCTGCAATGCTTGGTAAGAAATGTTCGCATTATCCTGCCCATGCAATTGTAACCCCTCTGTACAGCATGTTCACAAATAAAATAAAATTAACTTTAAAAAAAAAGAAAAGTTGGGAACGCATTCTATTGTAATTGAAATCTGACTGTTGGTCAGAAAAGAAGCCAGAGTCTTAATAGAAAGGTAGTGATAGAGAAGCATAAAATATGTATGAAGTTAGTATGCCCATGATGAAACCAGCTTGACATATAAAGGGTATGTGCTGAGGGCTACTTGCAAATAGGATAGAGTGATAATAAAGACCTTTCATAATAGGCAGAAAACTTCGATTTGGTTGAAAACCACCCATATCCCCAGGGCAAGGGGCCTTAATTCTCTTTCATTCAAACTCTACACACAGTTAGGTGACTTCTGCAACTAAATGTCAGTACATGTCCAGCTCTAGATGGTCAAATGTTTTCTTTTCTCATAAACTGAAAAATGGAAGTTTCTTACCATGCTCCTAAGACCCTAATTGATGAGTTTACTGTCTTTGACCTCATCTCCTGCCACTAATTCATTTTTCAGTTATGCCATCCTGTTTTCCATTTTTTAAACAAGTAAAGCTTATGTTCACATAATAGACCTTATACTTTTGTGCCCTCTGAACTTTGTATGACTTATTGCTTTACTTGAGCATCTTTAAATACATGTTCCCTACTGGAAATTGTGATCCTCTTAAGATTTACTAATATCCCTGTTGCTGTTTTATTATTCTTCATAGCATTCACTGTCAAATGTACCAATTATTTTGTTATTGCAAATTCAGCCCCAAGATGGCAGAGGTTGTTTGTCTATTTTGTGTGCTATCTGACATCTAGAAAGTCCTGGTTGCAAAATGCCCAAATCAGTAATTACTTCTTGAATGAATAACTTAAAGCACAATTTTCAAGTCATTAATTTGAAGTAAGATAAACTGGTTAGATAGCTATAACTGTAATCTAGATTCTAGGTGACTCAGGTCTAGATCAGGGCATAAAGATCAGAAATAAATAGAAATGACAGAGACATTTCAAAGAAAGACCCATAAGGGTCAAAGTGGAAATTTAAGGGATGATCTCCTGATGAAAAATTAACATCCTATAAGTATGAACTGTATACTTGAAATTAAGGTAATATGAGAGATGAGCAGAGTCCCTCCTCTTGAAATGTTTCTAGTCCAGCTGACAATACAAGACTTATTTATTTATTTATTAGATATTTTATTGTGAAAATACAGTATAGAGGGGTTACAATTACATGGACAAGGTAATGAGTACATTTCTGACCAAGCATTGTTGCCTCCTCCTTTGTTTCCCCTTCCCATCCCTTCCCCACTCCCCTCCACCCTTCCCCCCACCGCCCGCCAAAGTTGTAAAGTTCATTTTTCAACATAACGTCTTGTACATATCATTGTTGCAATGGGTCCACCTGTATCCTTATTTAAACAAGTTGTTTTTTCCCTTCCCCTCCCCTAATTATACCAACATCAAATACAGTGAAAACAGGGGTTATAACTTGGGGGAGGTACATACAAAGCAACAAAGAAATCATCTCATAAATATGTTTGACCATAGTTAAGATATGGAACCAACCCAGATGCCCCTCAGTAGATGAATGGATCAAGAAAATCTCATACATACACACACACACACACAATGGAATTCTATGCCTCCATCAGAAAGAATGTCATTGCCCCATTTGTTAGGAAATGGAAAAACTTGGAAAAAATTATATTAAGTGAAGTAAGCCAGGCCCAAAGAAATATAGGTTCCATCTTTTCCCTTATTTGCAATTACTAGTATATGTCTAAGACAAGATAAGTTGATGTTAGGCGAAATGAACCCAAGATAAGACTTATTTAAAATAACAAGTTGCTTTTAGGAATTTTGCAGCTTACTCATAGCTCCATTCAAAGTTGTACACTAAAACATGATGAAAAAATTCAAATGGAGTGCTATCATTTTAAGTACCCTTGTTTCAAAGAATAGAGAAAATCATTTTGGAATAAAAAATATCAATGCTAAATGTACAGATTTGCAATCATTTCAATTATTCACAAAAGTTGTGAATAAGTTGTGTAGTTAAGGAGATGTCATCTGAAACTATGAGTATGGTGTCACAATGTCTTGTAATCCCAGAACTCAGAATGTTGAGGCAGGAGAATTTTCAGTTCAAAACCAGTCTGGGCTACATTGTGAGTTCCAGGCCACTCTGATCAACATAGTGAGTCTCTGAATTAAAAAAATGACATTGGAGAAAATTTGTTCTTGTAATTTGGCCAATAGGTAGGGAATATTTTTCCTCTGTAGGCCACTTAGATATTTATAGCATCATTTAAAGGGCATACAAAATTATCAATCCAGGCTGATGAGGACTGAGAACAATGAACTAGATGAAGAAAAAAGCATACGTGTATGTTTCCTCATGAGCCTATTGTATAGCTTCCAGGCTTGATATTTCTGAGCCCTAAAGAAAGACCCTCTGAATCATTACTACACATGTAATGATCTTAAAAAACTTGATTTTTCCTTTTCAAATTAGTGTATATTAATTGTACTAAAGAGGTTTCATCATAAATATTGTCATACTTTATTGATTCTTTAATATTCTTTATAGAATTCTTGTGCATTTCATTTATTAATGTACCTAATTTTATAGAGTACATATTAACCAAATTTATCTGCCTCCAACATTTCTCACATGAAACCGATTTTGGCGCCTCACTGTGGTTTTTACAATGAGATATGCTACTTATTTTCCACTTAAACTAAGCCAATAGGTAGCAGCATGCTTTCCCTAGACCACTAATAACCATATCACCTGATAATTAGTTGGGAATGCACAACCTTTGTCTCCATCTATAGATTTAAGAACTCTGAGAAAGGTCCAACCATTAGTGTTTAAGCAGGCTCTTTAGTGGCTTCTGATGTCAGACTAAGATGGAAGACACCTGTTTTATTAAGCTGTTACTATAAGGTGGAATAATAAAGGCAATTTCATTCCACAAATACTTAGCTCCTATTATGTGCCAGTCACATAAAATTACAAAGGCATTTTTTTCTAAAGTATTCATAGGCTACTAGAGCATCCTTAAAGAAAAATGCAATGCAGTATGATAGTACTTATATTGAATGAGTCTAGGAAAATTATGTCTTCAGCAGTGTAGTCTTTTGCTTCTAACATGACACAAATATTCCTGACATGGAAATGTTCTTCCTCCTAGTCTTATTACAGACTCTCAAGATTCACTGAGATACAAATGCCTCAGTTATTCTAATTACCAGATATGCAATAGCAAATGCCCTTTCCCCAGGGCCAAACATATTTTGTATATATCCAGAAAGAAATTTACTTCTCTTGAATGAATGGGCAAATTTATTTCTGTTTTTTTAATTTTATATTAAGTTTTATTTATACCATACTACTAGACATCTAAGTTTATACCTTTAATTTAAAAATAAAGGCTCATAGATACTTTTAATAATATGTCATAGTCATATCTTTTCTCCAGAAATATGCACATATAAATTAACCACCTGTTATGGAAAAGAGAGTTAGGGGTTTTCTATGGGTCAGGTGTGAAGTGACTGGAATGGGTAGATCCTAAGTGCAAAAAATTTTCTGATAAATGATACATTATAGTATTACGTGG